CTGAACTCCAGAGCTGCCCCGAGCAGCCGCAGTGGAGACGTATCAACGGCGAAGCGGTCCAAATATCAGCAGGTCCCTCCACCACCCAAATACAGTCCCATCGGCCCAACCTCCTTCCTGCAGGGTCACCGAAGCAAATGACACTACCCTCTTCCCCTCACCCACATTGACCCAAAGGAATCACACAGAGGCTGTTGATACTATGAGCTTTTAATTGGTATCTTCCTCCTTACATTTGAGGAAGAAACAAGGATGCCCCACGGTGAACTTCTCCAGCTTTGGAAGGGCCTGGACAGAATGAAGGGCTGAGGAGGGAGTGGGGGGCAGATGCAGAGCTGACAGTGTGGTTTCCAATCCTCTGTCTAGTCGTGGGGGGCGGGGCAGACCCACACACGCAGGAAGTCTGAATGGGGAAAACCCTTCCTGACACAACCAAGAGCTTCCCTCCAGGCCCCTGCAGGCCCCCGAGGCCACCACCAGGTGGGAGCATCGAGCAACATTCCTTTCCTTCTCCAGCCAGCCTCCCCTCCTTTCTCATTCCTTCACCAGCCCTTCCCTGCCTGCTTTTCCTCTCCATTTCTCTTGCTACCAAAATAGATCTTGGGCTTCTCTTTGCTTTATAGCCAAGGAATCCAACTGCATATGAAAGCACACCATCCATCAAACCAAACCACACGGCTGGAGGGCAGGCCGTGGGGCCACTTTTGGGGGACCCTGGTGTCAGGCGTTGGTGCCCAGGCACCATGGGCTGGGAGGATCTCTGCAGTCCAAGTCCCCGGCACCCTAGTACGTGTTTAGAGACTGTCCATTGAATTGGCCTGAATGGAACCGAATCGACAAACCGATGCCACCAAGGAGACACGCGTATTCTGCTGGTGCCACAGTGGTGGCGTCAGGCACACAGGAGCATCGCCGCCCAAAGGCGCCTGGCCCAGCAGGCTGCACCCGGCAAGCTGCGCACTGGCTTGGACTACGCCTCAGCCCCCGTTACGCCCATGGCTCCTAATTCTAAGGGGGTTCTGCTCACAAGGATCTGGGAGATTCTGGAGGATCCATCTTGAAGACCACTGGGTCTTCCGCTGTCTCTCCTCACCTCTCCCCACCTCTCCCCTGTGTCAACTGCTCTGTGACTACCATGCAGCAGCCACCTCTAGAACCCTGGCTGGGAAGCCAGCAGGGACAGGGAGGCGGGAGAGCCAAGGAGAGGGTTGGTGAAGGACAGGCGTGCCCGAGCAGACTGGTGGGATGACCCACACGTGTCCACTGACTTCTATCTGCCTCAGCTAAGGACAATGTGGACCCCTTACTGAACCCAAAGAGTAGACACTGACCTGAGACCCCTGCTGGCTTCCCGGGGCTCTGTGCCTGCTGTTTCCCTGCTGGCTTCCCAGGGCACTGTGCCTGCTGTTTCCCTGCTGGCCTGACACTGTCTAATCTGACCTTGCCCAATTTGCTGACTGAGGGGAGTAGGGGCCGGGTGGGCGGAGGAGGGCCAGGGGAGGGAGGGACTGGGGGCTTCAGTGCAAGCCGAGGAACTCCTTGAGGACATCACAGGTCTTCTTGTGCAGGACCTCACGGAGCTTCCTGACCCGCCGGGCGCTCGACGGGCCCACAAAGCTATCGGGCTGCAGCATGGCCATGCCGCCGTCCACCTCGCCCATGATGATGAGCGGCGTCTCTCCGACCGTCACATTGGGGCAGGGGCAGGCCCAGTCCATGTGGAGCAGAGTGACTTCCAGTGGCTCCCGGCCCAGGAACTTGAGGCCCATCTTCTCGTCCTTTAGAACCTCATCCACCGTCACCAGAGCACGGCCCGAGTCGGGCTCCTCGGTGAGCTCAGAGATCCGGCCCAGGATGACGAAGTCGCTCCGACAGAAGCTGGTCACTAGCTTCTGCCGCGGCTTGCAGGCCCGACAGCGCTGGTTGCCCCGAGGGAAGGGGCACGACTCCTCGCAGGCCTCACGGCTCTCGAAGTTGTTGCCATTGCCCTCACAGCCACCATAGACAAAGGACTGGCACTGGCCCGTCTGGCTGTTGTAGGCCCAGCGAGGCACGTAGGCCTTGCAGGGCCCCTGCAGGGCGGGCAGGCTGCACACAGCCAGCGGCCCACTCATGCAGGCCAGCATGCAGGCCTCATAGGTCTCAAAGTGGTTGAGGTTGCGGTGGCAGTGGCCAAAGGTGAAGGTAAGGCAGTTGTTGACCTGGGCGTCAAAGTGCCAGCGGGTCTGCTCTTCGCCGCAGTCCTCGCTGTCGGGGGGCTGCAGACACTCGGCCGCCGGGAAGGCCGTGCCATTGGGGCTGCTGTCTGAGGTGGCTGCAGTCTGACCGCCCCTGACCACCGACAGGGGGAAGTCCGCCCTCAGGACCCCGGCGGTGTTCCGGGCCGTGCAGGTGTAGATGCCAGCGTCCTGGAGCTGGGCATTGTAGATGACCAGCTGGGCGATGTTGGTCACCACCACGTTGCCGCGCACGTGGTTGGGCCGCATGACCACGTTCTCGCGATCCTCCAGCTGCTTCTCCCAGGTAATCTCAGGCCGGGGTCGGCCCACCACGTCACAGAGGAAGCTCACTGTCTCGCCCATGGTGACCGACTGGTGCACTGGGTGGTTGAGCAGGGCTGGGGCTGCCAAGTCCAGCCCAGGGGTCTCCGGGGAGGCCGTGGTGGGACGCGCGGTGGTCTCAGGGGGAGGGGGGCTGGTGTTGGGCCAGGTGAAGTGATAGCGGCAAGTGACGACGGCCAGCCGGATACCCTTGGAGCAGGCCTCGGCGTCCATGTAGCAGCGATTGTAGTAGGTGAGGCCATCCGAGGCGCAGGTGAAGCTGGGCTCCTTCTCGCAGCGATCTTTACATTTACACACAGGCTGGCCGTCCCAGATGTCACACTCGGAGCCCTGCTGCAGACACATGAAGTGGTCGCACGTGGCCTCCTTGGGCATGCCCACGGGGCCCTTCTTCCCTTTCACGTCCATGTAGCGTGCTGCCACACAGCTCTTGGTCCCGCACACATTGGGGCAGCATTTCTCATAGGTCTCACACTCCTAGAAGAGCCCAAGAGAGAAATCTGACCAGGGAGGAGGAAAAAGAAAAGGCAGGCTCCCCACCCCACCCCACAGGGAGGAAGCTAGCAGGTGCTCGACACCCGTCAGCAGAACCTCTGGTACTAATAACAGCTAGCACACATGCAGCAGCTGCGAGGCGCAGGGCCTTGTGCAAGCGCCTTGACATCTGTCCATTTACGATCATCACAAGCCTGAGCTGGGGCCCACCGCTATACACACTTTACAGATGATAAGAAGTGAGGCACAGGGAGGTTGTGTCACTTGCCCAAGGTCACACAGTAGTGTGGGAAGAGGTGGCCCACAGACCTCTAAGGGAGGAAATTTTCTTTCTTCTTCTTCTTTTTTTTTAAATTTGCCAGAGAGTCTGTGCACTCACTGGAGAGAAAGAAAATGAGAAAGCACCCCCTTATGGGGCTTGGTCATGGCACAATCCCTTCTCCTCCATTTTTCCCACCTGTCAAGTTTTGGGGCATGCACGCACATGTGCCTGGTGTGTTTCTCAAGCCACTGGGGCTGGGACTCAAATGTGCAGTCAGCCACGGGGGATCCAGCCACCTTGACCACGATGCCACTGCTACCAGCTGGCCAGGGGAGATGTTCTAACTCCCTCCTCACAGACAAGAATACAGAGATTCAGAGACGTGACACCCAGGTTCACAGAGATGGGAAGTGCTAGAATAGGCTTTCAGTTTCCAGGGGATACAGTCCGGACATGCTAGTTTTTCTTATCATAGAGTTACTGGGACTGCTGAAGCTGGCTTTTTTTATTTTTTCTTTTTTTTTTTTTTTAATTTGCTATAGGGCAGGCCAGCAGGTGGTGTGATGGTTGAGGTGCTGGACTCCTACATGGCTGACTGCAGCTCAAGTCCCAGACCTGGCACCTGACTTCCTCGCTTTCTCTCTCCCTCTATTTGTCTCTCTCTGGTGAGTGCATGTGCCCTAAAGGAAAATTTAAAAATAATAATAAATAAAATTAAATAAACAATTCTTTAATTTTTTTTTTTTTTAACCATAGGGCATGTGAGCTCATCAGAAAGAAAAAGAGAAAAACAGAGGGAGAGAAGGAAAGTAAGAAATCTCCCCCCAGAGGGGATGGCCATGGCACAAGCCCTTCTCCATTCTCCTCTCAGGATTTTGGGTGTGAACGCACATGCACCTGGCCCAGTGTGTTTTCAAGCTGCTGTAACTAGGAATCGAACCATATTATCACCCATGTGGGATCCAGTCACCTTAACCACCAGCTGGCCGAGTTTCTTGTCTTTGTTTATACGTAATAAGGACACTCCGGTCGAGGGAAAGGGGTCACAGCAGAAACTCCAGGACAGATGTTAAGGCTATCCCCATCTCACCTCCTCTCAAGGAGACCAACATATGCAGGAACAGACACCTGAGGAGGCCAAGTCTTCAAAGCCGAAAGTGAGGGCCTGCTTGACGGGCCCAGGCACCAGGTCTTGCAGGCACCAGTCCCAGACCCAGGTGCTCAGTTCTTAGAAGGGGGCTTCACAGGAAAAGCAACTGGGCCAAGGTCCCCTTGTGTGACCAAGCTCAGCATGGGCTGGCCAGGGCTGTAATCCCCCTGGCTTTCAATGGAGCCACGTCGGGCATTAGTTTAATTCCTCGAAATGAGCAGCATGCTCCTGGAGCCGACACAACAAGGCCTTCATGTGGTGTGTTTGACGATAGCACATCGTACCCACGGGGCAGGCAGGCGTGCTCCTAATCCTCCATCAGGTAGTAACTCTGGGAACCACTCCCACTTGGCCTGGCCTCTTGTCACCACAGCTTCGATTTCGGCCTCTCCGACATTCCACATCAGCTCATGGAGAGAGGTCCCCCACCCTGGCCGCTGCGTGGAGCCTGCCCGACTTGTTTACTGCTTTCCCCCTTCGGCTCAGAACGGGGGCTTTGTTTTGCAGCCCTTGTTTGGCACAGGCTTCTAGGCCACACCAGGGGAGGTTTGGGGACAGGGATGGGCAGCTCTCAGAGCTGGGGTCCAAGGGACGCCCCTGTGGGGCGTTGAGGGCATGAGGAGAGGGAGCAGGAGACCCTACTCCTTGGCCTGAGAGTCACCCCATTTCTTTAGACGCTGACTCAGGAAGTTCCTTCAGGACCTGAAGGTCGTGAAAGGCTGGGTCTTCGGAGACCAGGGGTACGGAAACCTAGGGGACCCTTAGAGCACTTGCTTAAGGCCAGAATGTACCACGAGCTGTCTCACTCCCACCCACAGGTGCCTTCTCCCCAAGACACATGGATTCAGCCCATTTTTGCTGTCCCCAAGCCCCACCCAATGGATCGAGTCACCCATGCTTCCCTGCAGAGTTAACGCCATGTCCTCAGCCGACAGAGACAGCTGCCCTTCCTGCCCGCCCCTTCCCCTCCTTTCCCTTGGCACCACTACTGCCCACTGGTAGCACGAGGTCTGAGAGGCCGAGGCCACTCTTCAGGGCAGCCCCGTGCAATCCTGCAGGTGACCAGGCATCCACGGGGGCACCAAGGACACCCACTCAATCCAGAGCCCCAGGAGGTTCTGTGCTGTCCTCAAAGCCTGCCCTGCTGGACCAGGTCGGGAGTGGATCTGCCCAGGGCAGGTGCCGATGCCATGGCCCTTTGGCCCTGGGATGGTGGACAGTCACGGCACTGGAAAATGATTTGGGAGCTAGGAGAGCATTGCCCTAGACCAGGCCCCACCCGATCTGCCCGTGTGAACCGCATGCTCCAGGGCCACCCTCCTGTCACTGCAGTACTCACCTGAGAGGGTGCTGCTATGCCCATCATGCCCCCACGTGGTGCCATCCCATACCTGTGCCTCGCATGGCACCAGCTCGGGGCAGCCCTCAGCACACCTGAAGGAGGAGCCCACACGTTCCCAGTCCCCAGTGAGCCTGCATCACACGGCCTCAGAGTTACCAGAGAGGCACTGTGCCCAGTTGTCTCTAGGCAGCAGGGCTGTGTTCCTTCACATGCCTGGCCCTGCAGGTCATCACCACCCCACGGCTCCGTCCCCCTCACCAACATGCTCCCATGGTCCACCTCCAGCTTGTGGATTCCCACTCACCTGGTCCGTCTCACACTCCCGCTTGCAGGTGCTCTGGGCATCCACCCAGAGGTTAGGGTTCATGTCGTTGGGGCAGAGGCCAGCATGGGAATAGCGGATGGGCGGCAGTGCCAGGCCATGGGAGGGCACCCAGAGCAGCAGCAGTAGCAGCGCTGCCACCCGCCCCCAGTGGGACCAGAACCGGTGGCACCCCAGGGCCCACATGGTGCGGCCTATGAGACCTCCCCTGTGGTGACGCCAGGGGTGGGGGCCTGGCAGGGCCTTCTTCTCCGTGGCCGGAGACACCTGCCCTCCACGCGCAGCAGGTCTCCCCGCGAAGGCGGCTGCGAAGGCGGCTGCGAAGGCGGCGGCGGCCGTGGCTGCCTGCACCAAGTCAGTGCAGTCTGCTGGCTGTGCGGCTTCAGATGAAAGAAAGGTCTTCGGAAGGAAACTCCCTCTCTTGAGTGTGCAGGGAGAGGGGCCGCAGCAGGGCCCCGAGCTGGATTTATATCCTGGGCGCGCCACCCGAGTGGGAGCACGCTAACCTGAAGCCTGTCACAGGCAGGCTGCCGGCGCCTCTGTCCCGTGGCTGATCACAGACTTATTGCAGAAGGGGAAAAAAAAAAAAAAGCTGGAAGCAGTTTAGGCAGTGTATCTGGCACGGTGGGACACCTGCTTGTTTTTGACTCCAGGAGGCCTTTAACCCCTTCAAGGGCCAGAAATGGCATGTGCTTTGGGGGGAGCTGGCTCTGGACACGCAGGCTCACTGTAAAGAACTTGTTTCCCTTTCCCCCACCTCCGCGCTGGGCCCCCTCCTCCCTTTTGGCCACCTCTAAAGAACACACAATCGCTTGTTACAAGGAGGGACCTGCAGCCGCTGGGTTAGCATCGCCGGGCTCGATAGTACATTTGAGAGCAAATGACGTGGAAAAACAACACGTTCCCGGCCACGCCTGAGCAGCGCCGCGCCGGGGAAGCCGACTCCCGCCCCAGCACCAGGTCCCTTTGTCGGGGCAGTGCACACCGACAGCTCCGCACCTCTTCGTCCTGGGCAGTTTGTGTCTTAAATTCTAACTTGGTTGAATTTCCCCCAAATCATTCCAGAGACACATACCAGCTATGCTCCGGCTCTCCCCGCTGCGGGACGAATCTCATTCCTGATCCTCCGTGGACACACTGGTCAGCTCCAGGAAAATCTGCGCGGCCACTGAGCCTGGGACCACGCTGCCGTCGGGCTGCCCTGGCCAATGCCCACGGTGGCCGCAGTTCAGGGACCTCTTCCCACGTGCCCGCATCTTGCGGGCATCGTTGCCATCCGCCCACTTCACAGAGGAGGTTCGTGGTCGGAGAGGGCAAGCGGCTGGCCGGTCCCGCGCAGCAAGCAGGAGCAGGAATACCTGCGTGGGCACACCTTGGCTCTTACTACCTGCCGGTTCCCTAGGCATCGTCGCACTTCATCCTCACACCAACTCTCCTTCCATTTTGATTTAAGGAAAGGATGCACAGAGAGGCCAAGCAACGCCCCTGTGCCGCGCAGCTGGGAGCCCACCATCAACACAGGAAGCAGGGATATCAGCCCAGTGGGTATGGGCAGGGGCCTTTGGAACCAGCCCTCCCCCTCCATCTCGCAGAACCGCGGCCAGGGCACAGCAACTCTGCCTTTTACAGACAGGATGAGAAACTCTTGAAATATCATGGGCAATATTTGTGGAGGGGCTGGGAATGGAGCCAGGAGCTGCCAGGGGCCAGGGGGCGCACTCCTTCCTGCCTGGCGGGAGGAAATGGTTTGTATCTAAAATGCCCAGAGTCACCAGCAGGCTGAGCGTTTCTGTGTTGGTCACTGGAATCTGGGGATGTAGGCCGTGAGGGTGGACAGAGCCCTGGAAGAGAGAGGTGCTTTCTCAAGGCCAGACCGCATAGGATTTGAGGAGCAGTAACCCAGTCGCTGTGTCCCAGGGATAGAAAACGGGGCAGGCACCACACGCTTTGGAGCAGGGAGGGATTTTAAAGGCTTCTCAATGACCTCATCTTACAGATGGGGAAACCCAGGCTCAAGGCCCAGGTCTGAACTTACCCCAGGTCTGCTTCCCCCTTGGGAACATGGTTCGCCCTCTAATTTGGCTGTAAAAGCCAGCACAGGCCCCCACCCCACCCCCTTCCTTTGGCTGGCTGGGTGGTGTGGCTCCTCCCTGCCCAGCACGCTGATTCCTCCCCATGGTTAGGCCATTCTGCAAGCTCTGTCTTTTCTGCCTCTGTCAAATTGCTAATGAAGGGTGTCAGATCCTAATCCTCTAAATTATCGGAATAAACTTCCCTCCCAGGCTGGTCCCAGTAATAAAGCCAGACAGCGGGCGACGCCGGCTGCTTTGAATTCCCTGTAATTTCATAAACCCAGGTTCCAGCTGCTCGGAGCAGGGGCCTCAGCACAGGCCTTGAACAAACGCGGCTTGTGCAGCCTCCTTGGATAGCACAGAGGGAAACGGACAGCGACACATCTCTAAGCAGGACTTACAAAAACTGTCACAGCTTTACTCTGGGCTGAGTATCCAAGGGGAAGAGGCCGGTTCCTAGGAAATCCGTGGAGACTGAGAGAGCGGGAGAGGTGGAGGGGTGGTAGAGGCAGAGGTGGGGGAGGGAAGCCAGCCCAGCCCACCTCCCTCCCCCCCACCAGTCTGATGGGGAAGCTTGGGCCTGATGGGGAAGCTCCCAGCCTATCCTGGACCTCTCCTTCCCAGGGCCCCCTGCCTGACCCTTCTGCTCAGAGGACTCTCAAAACAGCATGCAGGAAGACAGGGGCCCTAGAACACGGACGTTCCCTCAGCCCGTCCAAGTCTCCCACGGAAACACAGCTCAGAATAGTAAATACCATCTGATCAGGGCTCCGAGCCACACAGCGTCTGAGTCTCCATCATTACTGCTCAGCTCCGCGAGCGAGAGAAGAAACCGAGTCACGGAGAGGTTAGGCTGGGCCTGCCTGAGTCCCATGCTCACACCCTCCCCCGACCGCAAGCCCATGCTCCTCGCACACCCCACAGGAGCCCCAGCCCTGCAGAAAGCCTCCTCTGCCCCTGCTGCTCCAGGGGCTTCTCACCTCCAAGTCTCCTCCCCGTGGGTCCTCCCTGCAGGTGCTGGTCCAGCCCCTCTCCTGCCTGTGTGTCTATCTGACTGTCCCCCCCAGTTCTTCTGTGCAGGGTGGTGTGGGCCCCACCCATACCAGGGTCAGGACAAAAAACGCGGTCCCTGTCCTGTTTGCCAGGTCTCCCCCACACCAGGATTACCAGGGATCAGAGCTGGGCTGGGACTGCTGAGCAGAGGCCTGGCCGCCCGGGTGGTCTGGGCGGACTGCAGGTCACCTGCCTTCAGCCTTTCCCCAAGGACATCAGGCACAGCTCAGGGTCAGAGGTCAGAGGGCCGGGCTCTGACTCATCTCAGAAGAGCCCTCAGGGCCCCACCATTGTTGGGGGGGGGCACAGACACGTTCCACTGTCAGGAGAGGTCAAAACCAGCTCTAGGGGCAGTGGCAGGAGGTCACTCCGACAGTGAACTCTGGGTAACCCTTGACCTCAGGTTCACCCTGGACATAACTCCTGAGCTGCCAAGATCTTGACAGGACAACACAGCTGATGTCATTTCCCAGGTCGGCCAGGACCACTGTCACCCTGCCGGCTTCAGCAGGGGGGTACAGAGACCCACAGAAAGGCTGCGTCACTCACATAGACCAGACTGCTTACTCCTCACTC